ACCAATACTCTGTGTCCAAAACCCAGATTTGATCAACACACACGAATGCTCTATCTCTCATACACACACACACACACACGAAGCCACAACCAATCACAACCGAGATCTTTCCCATGCTCGTATACACACACACACACACGATTACCATCAAACAAAATGAAGCCATAACCTGTCACAGTCGGCATCAGCTAGGCAAGTAAACACTGAAGAAGAGGAGAGAGCTTACCTGAAACGCTGGATCTGAGCGATGGAACCAAACATGACGACCTCAGCAAACGATGACCTGACAAACTAAAGACCGAAGAAGAAGGAAACGGATGGATTGATCGGGCAACAGAAGGGGAGATCTTGTTTTGGCAAGCCAACTCCTCACCAGTGCCGAAATTCGTGACCTCAACGACCTCACTAGTGGCAAAAAGTTGACTCGACTTTCAGAAGGGACGACGTCAACGCACAGGCGGCAACAACTTCGGTCAAATCTTGGAAGGAACGATGGCAACTCACCGGTGGCAACAAGTTCGGTCGAATTTCAGAAGGGGCAACACAACTCACCGGTGACTCTGTTGATTCGATTTTTAGCAGGGGCGAAGGCAACACACCGGTGGCAACAACTTCGGTTGAATCTCGAAAGGGAGGACGGAAACACACCGGTGGCAACAAGTTTAGTCGAATTTCAGAAGGGGCAACACAACTCACCGGTGGCACAAATGCTCGGTCGAATTTTAGAATGGGCGACACAAGCTCAGAATAGGCAGAATGGGAGAACAGGACAAGAAAACAATGTTTTCCTTCACCGTTGGGAGCCTTTGACAACACTTATTATTGCTACAACGACTATTTTTTTATCCTCAGAAGCGAAAAATTGGAGCTACCCGTGAAACCATGGTTTTTCTTTGCAAAACCAAGGTTTTCCTTGAAACCATGGTTTTACAAAAAATCAGGGTATTTGGCAATCAGATCACCCAAACTATGGTTTGGGCCTCAGAATTGCTTTTACTCAGATTGCCAAACACCCCCGTAAATGTATTGACTATGTTGATTAAATTATTGGATTGTTGGTTTGAGCACAAGGTTAACCTTATGGTAGTCTTTGTTATATTAGACAAGAGATAATCACTTTTTATTTATTATTCATACTCGTAGGTTGTTTGTGATTTACTTTTAATTATGTGGGATTTATAAAATATTATTAAATTATGATATGAGCTATGAAATTATGTTATTATTGAAACTGTCTTGTGAGACTTTCTTAACAAAATATATGTTTTTACGATTATGATGATATCATGTGTTATGAATTAATTGAGAATTGAAAATTCAAATTGACTTTGACATATTGATGATTTATTATAAATATAATATTTTCAGTATTGATATGTGAAGGGTGACGGATATTAATGATAGGAACTATACCAAAGAGAATATAAGAGGGTGAATTATATACATTTGAGGATATTAGGTAATAGGGCCATTAGGTGTACACTGTTGGTCTTTTGACCCAATTACTCATTATAGGACCTTGACACCCCACTAGTAGACTAGAAGGGGAACCCATGATCCGGTCTTGTGCTCTGTGGATTTTAGCCAGTCCATATCACTTGATTGGTTCAATCAAAGGATATAAGGTGGGTGGATATAAGAGAGGTGAAAGGATTATTGATTGTACTTTGTTATATGCTTTGACAATATGAAATTTGTTTGAATATTATAAATTTGCAATTGTCTCACTTGATACATCACGAACACTTACTTGTATATTTGATAAGTAGGATTGTTGGTTACTAAGACTTTTGTCTCACCTTGTTGATTTAACACTTTTCCAGGTGATAGTTCCTGTTCGAGTCAATCAAGGAAGACTCCAGAAGTTTGAGCTACTACTATAAAATTGTAGCACTTCCACTTTTTTTGATTGTGTTGGATAGATGTATATTGTCATAATATGGTCCATTCTACATACTCTGATATGTTTGAGATTGATTATTTTAACAATGTACTTTTGATAATTGTTACTAGATTGCATGCTGGTAGAAGGCTGGAGGCCTCTCGGTATTTGCATGTGATTTCTTTTGTTTGATATGAGGGGTCAATCCACAATGATTTTTGACATCAGATGACTTTAAAGTTATAAAAGGTATTATTCAGTAAAATCGTGTTATGTGCTTATGGTTAAAAATGATATTCTGGATTGATAATATCCAAAGCCCTATTCATTGTGAATTTCATTTTGCAGACAATTAATTTAGAAAAGCTCTTTTAACTATGGTCGACATATTTATGGATTGGTTTAACTCTTTTCAATTATGGTTAATTTCATGTGACTTAGGATACTTACACAACCATGATAGTAATTTTAAATAATTTATAAAGTTTCTTTTCTATCATGGTTAACTTTTCAATATTAATTAATTTAAAAAGGGTAGTAGTTCCATTGTTACAATACATATCAATAGTTAGTTCGATATTAGATGCATATAAACCATGTGTTATTTTCGGATGGGTTATGAAATTAGTGTAATCAAATGTATGTCAAGCTATGGAGTGATAGTTGGCTATGAAATAGAATGTTGTACTTTGATGTGTAATTAGTTGTAATCATCATATCTTTTATCACTTGTCGATCGTGACAATGTCACTTATCAATTTATCTGTTGATATAAGTTTTAAAAAAAAGTGGTTTGGAATTACATAATGTCATATAATGTGCACTTTCTTGTGGACTAATAATTTATTTTTTTGGTAAATGGATTAATACTTTTTTTTTATGATACTATGTAAGTCCAAATCTTTTTTTTCCAAACTTATATCAGCAGATAAATTGACAATTGATATTGCGATGAGTGATAAGTGATTAAATGTCTATTGACAATAAAAAGTGTAGATAATTACAACTAATTATACATTAGAATATAATATATCATTTCATAACCAACGATCATTCTATAGCTTGACACACATATAATTACACTAATTTCACAACCCACCTAAAAAAACATATGGGTCATAGACATCTAATATTGAACTTATTTTTCGTATGTACTGTCTTATCTATAAGAAAATTCTTTTCACATTCATTTACAAAAAATAGGATTTCACATGGTCTCAATTGGAATTTGGGTTGTTGTATGTCTTGGCAGTATGTCAAACCTCATTGCATCTTTCATAATGATAAACCTTCTTGTTTTAGAGCCGTGATTCTCTCCTATTGGTCCTCAAAAACTTGCATGAAAGTTGTTATTAACAAGTCAAGTAGTAATATTAACAACTATTACTGCCTATATTGATAACCATCGCGGCCTATATTGACAATATACTTTTCTATTTTGTAGCAAGGATTTTTATCCACACCAACCTTCATCTTTTTCATCTATTCCTACTGAATCATGCTCAAACAGAGTAAACCAACTATCAACCCACCCATAATATATCCAAAAATAGAGCATCCTTTATCATCTTATTCACTCATAATGAAACCTCAACTTAAATTACCAATACATATCAAATCAAAAATGCAAACTTTGCATTGCTAATTTGTTCACAGTGGCCCAAAAACAAGAGCTTTACAGTTACATGGCAAAACAATTTTCTACATATCCACACCCAAACTTACTCTGTTGACCAAAATCTTTTTGGAGAGGAGATGAAAGAAAGTTTTGAACCTCGAAATCAGCCGAGATGATGAAGATGGAAAGCGCTTGGACTTTGGTTCTTTTGTTGTCAATCTCTTTTTTTTTTTTTAAATACTTCTGAGCTCAAAGATGCAGGAAATCAATTCTTTTTCTTTCTCTTTATCATTTTTTTGTTGCATTACCATGGGTACATAGGTCTATTCACGTTTTTTATTATTGCAATCAAGTCCCATTGAAACTCCTAAACAATTACTAAGTTTTCTTGGACTTTTTCTGCATTTTCTCTTCCATAGAACTCCATTGCAATTTTCCCTTTTGCTTTCAAGCGTAGATTACACGCAGACTAGTAAATAGTGATAAGTTTAAAATTTTTATTTGTTTTTATTTTTTTAGGAAAAATGGGAATTTTTAAACTTTTTTAGGAAAAAGCAAAATGATATTAAAAGTATAAAAATTATTATATAGAGATTTATATTACTATTTATAAAATGTTTATTAAATATTCGTGCACTTATTATTAAAAACTCTTGAATTAAATACATAAGAAATTGCATATAAATTTTTCATTACATGGTCCTTCTATATGTGTTACACAAAAACTAAATCCAATCACATTAGTCATTGTTTATGAGTAATATATTCTTATGGATTTTTTAAATTTGGTTTATACTTCGCACAATGTCTAAGGTAAGGTGTTCTGTTCATAGTTCATAAATAGTATAACTTATAATAAAATTTATATTATATATAAACATGTGGATATTTAGACATGGATATATTAATTATAATTATTGATTATATGTTCATTTTTACTTGTAAAATGTACATAAAATTTGTTTAATATATATAGCCTACATATTATTTTAATTGATAATGGAGGCATTAAGACACACACACACACACATAAATATCTGCCTTGATGAACTCTTGGCTTGTCCTTGAATCTTAGAGATACTCGTTCTTGTTATATTACACCACATATAAGCAAACCTTTTCAGGTGTCCTAGAATATAATCACAATCCATATTTTGCATGAGTTGTTCTAACTTAAACATAGAAGACAAAAGTATTTTAAAAAAGTATTTTATGCAAAACAAGACAAACTCCTCTATGCTTGAACATGAAATATTATGAATACAAAAAGAAATAAATAAGCTTTAATTTAGTAAGTAATATCATTTTCCCTCGAGAGAAGCGGCAACTTCAACTTTAAAAAGAAAAAAGAACCGCAATAATAAATCAATTTATCAATAAGAGTGTGTGTGTGTGTGTAAAGTTCACAGCAGGGTACATTGTTCAAAAGCTTTGGATAGTGAGGCTCATTTCTCAAACTCTGTATAATACATTATGTTCACTTTCTGTAACTGAAAAAAACCAAAAAGAATCATCCCTTTTCAATTAATGCTCCATGAAATGTAGTAAAGAAATTCAATATTGCATTTCACAGAATGCTTATTATGTTTCTTCTTGTTTCTTTTTTTCCCCTCCCAAATTTGCATCTCTTCTACCTCTTTCCCAGAGTGATCAGAGTCATCACACAGATTGAGCAGCCATTCTTCACAGAGGGTGTTCCTCTCAATGCATTTTTCATTGGTTTTTTCTGCATCAACTGGCTGTTGTCCCAATCAAATTTCAAATTAAGTTACAATGGTGGGAATTTGACCTCTGTTAACAAAGTCGATCTTATTCAACCGCAAGCAACACAAGACTTGTTCTGGTAGTTCCTCTAGCTTTTGTGCCTATCAGAGCATATAAATTCAAAGGCCATAGAAATCAATATTTACATATCTACTCCTCTAATCCTTGATATAAAAGTTATTTAACTAATCTAGTTAGATTAAAGAAGCTAAATAGATTACTTAATTCTAACAAATGGACACCATCTTCCTAAAATACCCAATATAACATTAGATTATATATCAATTTATGAGTTAGATAAATTAGTTTGGAAGAAAATGATAAACACGAAAGATAAAAATGAAATAAGGTCTCACATTTAAGACCACAACTAAATTTCTAACCAACTCCCATGTTTAGGACCGAAGAAGTAGTACACTATCATTATCATAACATGGCAGTTTTTCCTTCAGTTCATCATGGCCAAGAGCATCCTATACGAACAGGAAAGATGAATCTCCCTTAGGGTATTGCAAAGGACTGCATTTTCATAACTATATATGCTCTATACACAAGGGATGGGAATCAAACTTACAACTTTTTATTTAAGGAATATGAGCCTCTACTACGTCAAACTAAGTTGGCATAGTGGTGCTTTTTATTACCTTTTTATTTGGGGAGAATGACAGTAACTCCCAGTGATTTGCACCGACAATTCTTATTTGCAGCTATCTGAATGAATATTTCCAACTCATCTTCTTTCAAAATGTTTCGAGATCTAAGTCATTCTCCCTTTTATCTACTAGCATTACTACTGTCTCTAAGCCTCTGATAATATATATATATATATATTTATAGAATCAGCTTTTCATAGATTGGTTTTCCCTAAGAATTTACATTCTCAGTTAGCTTTCTAGCTGATTCAATTTGGTATTGATAGAAAAGATTGAAAAATGATTTCCAGGTAATATTCCATTGATTCATTTAGTTTAATTTTATAAATATGAGATACTAGATAACATGCTGAGGGAACAGGGAAGGATGACTAATCCTGTCTTTCTGATTATGATATATGCTAGCATTTGTATTAAATAGCATTGATTTCATCAGTATAATTGAAGGCAAAATTGTTTGATCAACTTGATATCAGAAGCGTTAAGCTTAAAGTGGTCAGATTATGCCTTACCTGGATAGTTAAGCCCACATTAAGTATTCCATTATGTACACGATCTCGCAGTGAATCAAGCCCTTTCCTGGATATGTAGCTAAACCGATGAATATCCAGATCAATTTCAAAATAGTTAGGTCCCTGCAATTAATATGGATAGAATCTTACTGCACTAAATTTAAAACTAGTTGTGGTGGAATGTGAAAGAATTGAGCTGTATTAATATGAGCATGATACTATTATAGGAGAAAAGCATATATAAACAACACTTTGCTCTCCAAAAAAGGTGTTTTGTTAAACAACCCAACAGAAATGTTTTTGGCATGCTTTCACACAAATATATTCACAACAACGAAATTATATAATGCATTTAAAGAGAGAAAGAGAAAAGAGATTGTGAATGTAGAACTGGAACGTGGAACCCATATAAGATTATGTTCTATTATAACACACTCTGAATATATGAACGTAGAGGATCTAATTTGAAATATATTCCAGTCGTTCAATAACTAAACCAATGAAGGGCAGGGATAGATTCAAAGGTCACTTTATTATAGCAAAACATTTGAAATGATAACCAAGTTGTATACAAAAACATCAATATCATGATGAGTTAAAAAGTTAAATTCAAGTGAGTAGAATATGCTAAGTTTAAAAATTTCCCAATTCCAACAGTCTTTAATCTGATGATTAGTCAAGAATTTTATAACATGACGTTTATATACCTTAAAGAAAATGTGTTGAGGGCGTGAAAGCACTGGCTTGCCATTGTAGGCGTTTATAAGCTTCTTCTCTGTTGAGCTCAATTGAAGGTCCTCTGGGTTAACCACCTCAGCCAAAATTTTCAGTCTTTCCCTATAGGGAACCTCAGTTTCTTTCGTCAACCCCTTCACCTTCTCCATCTCACCATCCACTAGCCTCTGATACAACCAATACAGTTATCTAATTAAACAGATACTCAAGAAGAAGCCAAATTGATATTTCAGTTTCCAAAAGCCAAGGAGCATGTGCACATCACATTTGGAAGTGTCATCTTAAAGATTTTTAAAAGTTCTATAGAGTAGCCATGGATGAGGGGACATACCTTGATACTATCCTGAAAGTGACAAGAGATATCTTTGCTGAAATTATCAGATACTTTGAAATATAATACAAGACTCATGCCTTCACCGTCTCCATCACTGAACATAGAGGCAGGGTATGTTGGCAACTGATACAAAAATAAAATAATTATACACATTCCTTCAGGATTTTTTTTAACAGAAAAATAACATTCATAGGGGGATAGGCTTCATCAAAGGACAAGGTACAGTTTACTAGCATAAAGGTGAAAGCATATAATTTTGAGTTTGAAAATCAAACCTGTATATTAACAATAAGAAGTGACGGAACTTTCTCATGCCCTTTGACAGATGGAAGTTCAAGATGCTGAGCAATGTGATTGATCTTCTTTGGGCAAACAAACAAATCCACACCTATTGGTGTATAAGCGCTACAAGTTGGAGCTGGACACTTTTGCTTATCACTGCATAATTAATTGAATATATAAATCCTAGCTTCTAAGGAAACAAAATAGTGTCAATTATACTTACTACTAGATATGATAAAATTTGACAGAAAATTTTCTGACATGCCTGAAAAAATTCTTCCCCCGGAGCCTAAACACTGAGGGCGAGATTGTGGACCAGGATCCAGGCAATGGCTTCTCCAGAGCTGAACACTGAATTTGAAACCCTGCTCTGGGATGGTAAAGTAATCTCTCAGGTGCACCTGCTCAGCCACTCATTTAATATCATAACACTGACTGATCTAGATATCTATTTGCAAAATTTATCCAAAATCAGTAACTGGAAACCAAGAAACCTTTTCTTCTTCCCAAAAAATAATTTCTGTACTCACGTGATCCAGTCTTTTCATTCCCATCAACGGATTTTCTTGTGACCGAAACCATGATAACTGTTGATTGCGTTATGTGTGATGTTTGAGGACTCGCTGGGGAATGATTCATGTCATTAAAATTGACTGAAGGAATTAGAACAGGCAAGCAAGGCTTTGAGTTCTTTTCTTGAATTTTCTCTTCATTCTTATAGTTGCCCCCATCTATTTTGAGATAACTTTCATAGAACCCTTCATATGCATTACAGCCTGAGTTTCCAAAGCATGATGCACTTTCATATTGGAGTAGCTGAGTATTAGGGACACTCCCCAAAGTATTACCCACAAAAGGAAAGCAATCTGTCGGTCACAGAATTTGAATCAGAAAGATTGTCACAAATCTTAAATCATGGACAGATAAAATAATACATATAGGTGCATTACCTCCATGCACACTGATGAAGTCATCATCTGAATCAGATTCAATCATGCTGACCGAGTCAAACCATGCTTCCTCTTGGCACGATCCTGAAAGACATACAGTGCTCAGCATGATCATACAAGGTAACTCTCTCAGCCCAAGGAAATCAAAAACCCCAATGCCATAACAAAAGGACTATAAAAAATATGTAACCAAAGGATATGACAAAATGCACGACAGATTGCTCACTACAAACTCTCTTTCTGTCCGATAACATGTATCCCCAGATCATTGGCATCCAAGAACTGCGTGTGTGTGTGTGTGTGTGTGAGAGAGAGAGAGAGAGAGGATACCATTTCCATCGGATTGGTTATGACTGTGATATTGTAGTTGGGTGAGATGAAATGTCATGTTGGAAACCTCAGACCTCCGGCCCTTGTCAAAGTCCAAGTGAACAAAGTCACCGAGAGAAAAATCGCCAACATGATTTCCAGCACTGCTGAGTCTTTTCAAGGACATGTCAGCAACGCCAGTGGGTATTTTTCCTCGGACATTGGCGTGTTTGTGCCTGTTTCTCCCATGAGTTTTGCCCTTCCTTTTTGATTTTGAGGCACAACCCCCCATTGAAACTACTTTTTCACAACTGCTAACATCAAATTTCTTTTGTTCATGTATGGTTTCAATTCAATTGAAATAGCAGGCACTGTGTCTGTAACCTCCCAAAGAAGCCAGGACCTACCAACCATGTCAGGTTGCCAACAATGGAGTTTTCATCAAGAAAAGGAAATGCAGAAGAATTGGCCAAAACGAAGTTAAATGGCTGAATTCCAAATCTTTTGTTTTTTATAATTATATTTCCCCGTACAATTAAGTAATGATTCAAAATGTAGATTAATATACATTATCTAATATCTGCTGCCCTTAAACTTGCTGATTCTAAATGAACATACCAGTGGAAGAAACTAACAGGTAAAAGATATTCTGGTTTTTCCTAGGCTACTGGAAACAACTTTGGTGAGCTTTCTTTCCGCAGATTTCATGTGAAACGTTACACACGAACTCTCTCTCTCTCTCTTTTTCTCTCTATATCCTATTTCTCAAATTGAGCACGTACCTGTAACTCGAAGAAGCACATTCCAGAGAGAAGCATCGTCCCTTGATCCAAGATCCATAGCCGATGGTGTTCAATACCTTCCCTGTTCATCTACATCAAGGCCATTTATGTACACCACCAACTACGAAGAAACCCTGAAGGCAATAATTAAGTTATTAAAAAAATCACAAGTTCTTTAAAAGGTGTAAAATATTGACGCATTTTAATAAAAGCCAGTCTGAAAGTTCTGGGTTGAACGGCGTCAACAGGTAGGCCCAACTTCAATAATCAATCATATCAGCAATGGGAAAAGCAGCAGTAATAATAATAATACATGAATACTATCCATTTCATACATGTATTCGGCTGGCAGAGAGTCCTTGTTTTGAACAGTGAAAAATCAAACACATGGGGTCAAAAGTGGAGAAGATGATGCTGTTCCATATTCCTTAACACAGAAATACTTAACAGAAGAAGTGGGCCATTCTGGGCTTTAATGTTTGATCAATGGGAACACCATACAAGCATTATGAGCATCTCATGAGATACTAAAATCAACTGAAAGTATAAAATAATGAGACAGCTTCAAAGGCATATCATCAAGTACAACACATGCATGAAGAAAAATTGGACCACAAGAAACAAGGAGATGGCAAAAGCATCTTTCTGATTCATGATGAACAGAGGAAGGGGAGAGACAGAAAGAGAGAAAGAACGACCTGAGGGAAAGTTTCAGCATGAATGAGGAACCTCGTTCCCAGAAAGGAACTCTGATTCCTCGTGTGTGAGTTGCTCTTTTTCGACCTGTGCGGTTTGGTTTGGGAGGGGGGGATTGAGCAAAAATATAGAAGAAGAACGAACAGTTTTTGCTCAAATCGGATAGAGATAGAGACAAAAAAAGATTACACAAGTTCACCAAACTCCGTTGTTTTCGGATCCTACATGGTTGTCACTCTTCTTCATTCTCTCATATTCAATGCCTCAATGGCTCAATCTATCTATTCTCAAGTCTCTTCCTCTGTTTTTGGATTCTTACCAGGAATTACACTCTGTTTTTTCCTTTCTTCTTCCTTCAATGGGAAAAAAGGAAGATTTTGTTAATGCGTCGCAGGTAGAATATTCACTTTTGTTTTGTTTTCTTCCTTTCATTTCGCCGGCAAAATGATGTTACCATGAGCTGCTTGTCCACGTGGCGCCGTGTTAGGGCCTCGAATCTTGTGTCATGAAACATGTGGGAATTGGATGCCACGGGGGACCAAGATTTTAAATGCAAGGCCTCGTGAATCACTTTGTTTACCCCAATGAACCAAACGGAAGTTTATTAGTGTCATCAAAAGGCACTAAAATCCTCACCCCCAAAAAAAAAAAAGGCACTAAAATTCGGACCGTCAATTCATTCACGATAGGCCCGTATTTCAACTTAATTATACTTTCTCCGCTCCTTGTTATACCAAGAAATGAAACAAGGAAATTACATCAAAAAAAAAAAGAAAAAAGAACAAGGAATGAAAATTAAATCATTAAATTTGTCCCAAATTAATACTCCCTCCGTTCTTTTTTATAAGTAATCTTAGATTTCATTACTTAGACTAAAAAATTAGTTAAAAATAATAAATAAATAAAAATTAAAAGTTATTTCTTCAAAATACCTTTATTTATAAAGGAGAGAGACTATAAGAAAGAGAATAAAAAAATTATTATAATAAAGAAAATTATGAAAGAGAGAAAATGTGGATGGAGTGATTTGAAAAATGAGATAATAAATATATTGAATATTAAAATAAGTAATTAATGAGGTAAAATAGGAAAGTTGCTGCAAAAATTTAAGAAAATTTGCAAATATTATTTATATTTAGGAACAAGAGAAAAATAATAGTTGTTACTTATAAAAAAAGATAGAAGGAGTAATTCTTTCAAAATGGCCCCCGACTTAAATAATGGAGATAGAGAAACATGAAATTTGATGAGCATATAAAAGTACTTATTTGCTCCCATTTATAATGCAGAGAGAGAAAATATTGTTTGGTCTTATTTATAAGGCATTGAAAGAAATTTTTTATATGGATATACAATTTTATCCTTCATTTATGATTGTGTTAACTTTATTTACATGAAGAATAATATATATTAAACAAGTATAAAGTCAGAAAATTGTTAAATTTTAAATAAGAGTTAATAAAGTATAATGTTTGTCTTAATCTGTGTAAAACATATTAAAAGTGACTTATAAATAGAATTAGATGAGTATAGAGTAAACACTCAACTTAATAATAAGGGTAAAATTGAAAAATAGCAATTAATGAGTTAGATGATGACTTATATTTAGGACTAAAAAATGTTTTCAGGCTACGCTTTATAATAGAGACAAGAGGGAGTATTGATTATAATTAAATTAAGGGAAAATGTGTAATTTTATTCCTAATTTTATCTTTCAGATGCACTTGCACCTCAATTTTTTAGTGATACAATTTTACGTATGATACTTTTTTGTACAAGTTTATCCTTGATCTATATTGTGCCAAAAAAAATTATAGGTAAAATTAAACCATTGAAAAGATTGGGATGCAGGGTGCACCCGAAAAATAAAATCAGAGGCAAAATTACATTTTTACTCTTAAATTAATGGAAGCAGATCCTTTCATGACCCTTTTTCTTCTTTTCTTCTTAGGATCTCGTCTCCACTGTTGAATTCAAAAATAAATGGTTCAGATTTAATATTTCATAAAACTATTATTATGATATTACATTAAAAAAAAAAAAGAGGATGAATATCTTATCTTAAAATATTAAATCTAAACTATTTATTTTCTGATCCAATAATGGAGATGAGATTCTAGGAGGAAAACAACTTAATACTCCTCTGTTCCTAGACATTGAGCATAAAGTGCTTATTATAATTTGGATTATCCTAATTGATTTTGGATAGTTCAAATTTAATTCAAACTTTTATTATATTTTAAATAATTTTTATTCTAATAAATATAGAATTCAAAATAAAGATAATTTTATAATTCACAATTCTCAAAAGATCAATTTATTATAAAAAATTACATATTAAAATTTTAAATTTGGATCGTTCAAATCAAATTTTATATGGTTGAAATTTTATCATAATAATGAGCGCACATTATTTATAGCTATGATGATTAATGAGCACTCAATGAGTACCCATTACGGAGTTGATTCTAATCTTAAATGTAAAATCTGAATCTATTTTGTATCTTATAGTTATTATTTTTTCAAACTAATTTAACGAACATATATACTAATATATAATCTAATATCACATAGAGATATTTAAAGGAGATCATTTCACATTTGTTACTTATAATTAACTAATTTATTTAGTTTTTTTAATTTACTTAAATTAGTTAAATAACTCTTATATTATAGATAAGAAGAGTACTAATATTTTTAGTTGTATACTGATTAACATACTTCATTCTTTTATAATTTTGCGGTAAAATTTTAAAATATTATTCGATCTTAAATATATATATATATAGTAAAAATGTGGGAATTAAAATCCCACCCCTCTTTTATTGTGAGCTGTTGTCATATTTTTAATTGCTAGACAATACTCCCTCTAATTCTTATAAGCGTTAAATAACTAATTCACAAATAACAAATGATTAGCTAAAATTACTTAAAAGTAATAAACATGTTAGAAATATATTTTTATTTTCAAATATGCCCTTATAATAAATGAGAAAAAGGATAAAAAAGAATGGGTGAAAATGTGATAAGAGAAAATATAACAAATGAAAGACAATAAATAATTAAGAAAAAAAATTTAAAAATTATATTAAATGTTAAGACAAATCCAAATTAATGCTTATAAAATGGATTACACATCTCTCAAATTAAAGCATATAAATAGGATCGGAAAGAGTATTTTATTATAATCTTTGGTGAAAGACGAAATTGAAAACTCACATTTTATCATCATTTCTTACAAATCATGAAGTTATTTAATTTTACTTTATAATTATCACGGAAGGGAATGCCTTATATAGACTCCTATTTTCCCTTGATATATAGGAAATAACAGTCTTTCAACTTGTGGTTCAATCCCAATTGCAAAGTTTGGACAGACGGGAAGGAGTTGAAAAACTTGCACAAAATTTGCTGAAATAGATTATATATTTTACTCTACATGATATATTAATTAAAACAAAAAATTTTTAAGAAATTAATATTAACGTAATAATAATATTTTAAAATCAAACTTATTAGCTACCGAATGCCAAGAGATACCAATCTCGGTTGATGTGACTGGTGGAGGTTTTTTTTTTTTGTCACTTTAATAGTTGGGATTTCAGCCCTTGTGCATATGGTAGCAGGTAGCCCAGTCAAAAGAGATATATTGTTCCGATCCTAAATATAAGACCTTTTATACATACTAATATAAAGGTTTTATATTTAGAATCAGAGGAGTACTAATTATTCTCAGCACTAGTATTTGTTTGGAGTCATAGTCTTTTTAATTGTAATTTCTAAAATATAAAGTGGGGTATGTGGAAAGATTTTATTTCCGTTTACGTAAACGTGTTTGGGGGTATTTGGATAAAAATCAAACTATAATTTTAAAAGCGCTTTTACAATTTACGAAATAAATATGTGAAAGAGTTTGCCTCATTTAGAAAAGTACTTTTTAAAAATACTTTTGAGGGTTGTCAAACATTCTCTTAAATAGTATGAAATATACACTTTACAAATGAAAAAAGGACCATGGAGTGTAGCTATCTGCATACTTAGAGGTTAACAATACTAGTAGCAAAATTACAGAGGTTAAAGATAATCACAGAGTAAAATTATATGTTTAATTAAAAAAAACACACAGTATCAAATTTAAAGTTAAAAAAAAAAAAGAACTATAGGCAACTGAAAAATGATTTTTCCTATATCATTCCTTGTGGGTATTAGTATTTGTTATCTATGAAATATACTCCTCACATGCGGAAAAGAAGGGAACGTGGAGTATGGTCTACATAGTTTAAATATTTTTTTAAATTTAAAAAACTTAGGACAGCTTCAATTAATTGAATTCAATTTTGGTGGAAGCTAAGGCATATTATTTGGGAAAAGGAACAAGAAGAAGATGATGATCGAGAAATTAGAGGCAATAAAAAAATAAAGGGCAGGTCGCGATCGTGGCAGATTGGCTTCCCAAAGCGCGTCCCGTGGGCGAGCACCTGGTCACTACTTGATTACGACTTCCCCCAAATTCCATTCAGGGTTCTATCGGCTTCTTTCATTTTGTTTTTGCGTATCTACTTAATTCTATTTTCTATTCAAGTAAATTAAAATCATTTCTCCTACATTTTTTTAGTTAAAAGGTGATCATATTCAAAATATTGTTGAATCCTAAACGTGACGCATCTCCTTATTAAAATTCGAATCTTAATTTGTCATGTTATGAGAAATTAACTAAATCCTATTAGATCTAACCCCCTATTGATAAATCATAAATATTACTCCCTTCAGTTTAAAATACTATAAGATAAATTTTGTTGAGAGGACTTGATTTTTTTTTCCTAAGATAACATTAATTTTTGTCTAAGTATTTAATGTGTTTTTTTTATCCTAATATATATTCTCTTTCCTCTTTGATTTATTTATTGTATCTTTTACTTATTCTCTTCATTAACAAGAGTGTATTTGAAAAAGAAAATACATACATTACATGTTTATTGTTTTAAACTGATTTTAACTAATTTTTTGATAAATGTAAGTAGATAAAGTTTATCTTATATTTTGAATTAGAGAGTATATTTT